ACACCCTCTCTCTCTTCCCTCTCACACACACACACACACACACACACACACACACACACACACTTTCTCTTCCTTCCTTTTCCCACCAAGTCGGATGGGGTCCTTTCAAGGCCATCAGTACAGATACAACCGGCCCTTTGATGGGGACCAAACTGCTGATGCGGCCCCTGATGAATTTGAGTTTGACACCCCTGGTCTAGGGGATACCCTCTCCACAGAGTGACAACCAACAGCAAAACTGCCACTATTTCAGCAGCAGCTGAGGAATGTTTAATCATTTAAATTCTGTTTATACACCATTTCAATATCTATACAGATGAAGAGCAAATTTTAAATAATCAACAAATAAATAAGAAGGTGGATAATTCTGGGAGAGTTGTTTTGGAACAACAAGCAAACCGTGCTGCATGCACAAAAATAAATAAATGACAGGGTTAGCACAATGTAACAGCTACAAGCTAGTGCACACTTATTTTGGCACAGGTCCCATTAAACAGAGTGGAATGTAACATTGTAAATCTTCAGTTCCTTAATTAGTTTTCTGTGTAATATTATCAACAGTCTTAATCATCTTCCCGCCTCCCAAAAATAGCTTGGAGACAATATATCCTAAACTATTTCCCTAACAATCTTTTATTTCATTTTATTCATCTCAGAGATCCGTTCTTCTTTTGGCCTTCACAATGTTTTTTCTCCCTGTATTCTTTTCTACTTCTTTGATTCATTATTAAAACCTGGAGATGAAATTAATTTTCTTTCAGTAACTCTTTGAAGCTCTGGTGGTGCCTAATTAATGCTGGCATGTATTAACTTTTCATTTGTGTTTGACATGACGTTGCTGTTTTGTTTTGTTATTATAGGTTTTATATATACAGGAGAAGTTGTACATCGAATGTTAACGGCTACACAGTATATTGCACCTTTGATGGCCAACTTTGACCCAAGTGTGTCAAGAAATTCCACTGTCAGATACTTTGATAATGGTAAGTTATGAATCATTTTCAGGACGGTATTTTCTTTCCTTTGTAAGAAAATATGCATTGAAATCAATTTGTAATATTTAGTTCTCAATTCTGTTATCAATTCTGTAGTATTTAGTTATTTAGAAAATTGATGGGTGTGGTTAGCCATTAATCTGAGTAAAGCAACACATTTAAAATTTTATGAGTGAAGCCTGATGACCAACATTAGCTATTGTTTTCTATTTGTCTATTTAAAAAAACCTGCTTGCACCTTAAATCTCAGGAAAAAAATCACTTGAAAATGGCAAAAAGGCAATTGTTCTTGCCATTCTTGATGCTATAGTTAAAAAGCCATTAATGTCACTTTGCTAACTTTGCAGGCTATTACCAGTTGTTAGTCTCAGCTAGAGTAAATTCATTGGATGAATGGGACACATGTGCAAGCAGTGTGCATGTAATAAACAGATAGATTAATGAATATCTGAGGAACAAAATGAAACTTGATACTGAAAAATTGCTTTTTCAATAAAACAGAAAGCAACTCAATCATATTGGGAAAGTAAATTGCAGACATGTCTGTCTAATACAGTGAAATAATTTATGCAATGATGTTATGAACATTCCACTTGAAGTTCATAATGGACATGTTTCAGCCTTTCCCCCCATAAAATAAGTTTCCTTGTTTCCTCAAGTGTCCTAAGGAGGAAAAATAAATTGCAATGACTGGTTGTTGAACTGTCAGCTTGATGTCTGGAAATTTTCTCAAAGATAAGGTGTCTCTGAAATTAGACCAGTTTATCCTGGAGATTTCTTTTGCCCATGCTTCGAAGGAAAAGTGCTGAAGAAATGTGAATCAAAGCAGAGATGGGTAGCTAGACAAAGTTCCTTTTGTGTGTTTTAAGGAAAAATAATTTGGCTAAATTCCACGAGAGTAGACCCACTGAATAAAAAAGACTTTCCGTACTTATGTAAGTTCTAACTCTGTTGTAGTCAGAACTGCTGAATTCAGCCCATAGCCCTGAATATAAAATAAATCTTCATTAATCCTGAGTGTGACTGTACTTGGAATCGTATGAAGATTTGCACCATTTTTTGAGGTCTTTCTGGATCTTCAGAGTACATTTGTAGGATGGTAAACCACCAAAACCTGTGATCAGTCTAAATGCAACCTATCAGATATATAGCCTAGCCTAGCAGGGACTTGATAGCCTTTCTGATCCTGTTTGTGTAGAACTGCAAAAATCCAGAAGAGGCTTACATGTCAGACACAGGGCAGGCTAAAGTGCCAGTAAACCAACTTCATAGGTCATATACTGCACAGGCCAGTGGTATGGGAAAATGGGGATTTGACAAAGCAAGTTCACAATATAATTGTGGGATTACAACGCTCCACACCATTACGAATATGGAAACCATCAATTAATTCATAATGGTTCTGTTTAGCCAGGACACTTAATGCTTACCACTAACATCATAAATTATTTAATCACTCTCACTCTGAAGGCATGCAGTCGATTGAAAAAAAAGTTAGTGTGTGTTATGCATACTAAATAGAATGAAAATGGGTGGATTTAAATATTAAATATTCTGTGTTAATGTTTCTGTAAACATCCTATAGCCAGTGGGTTGTGAACTACACGACACGCAGTAATACTATGATTAAAGCAGCCTAGCAGTGGAACATGTCCTGGATACCAATTTACACCTTTTGCTTGGCAGTGGTTCATGTTCGTATTTCTGCCGTTTATTTCTGTTCTCCCAACCTTCGGTCCCCAAATGTTGTTAGCTTGCAGCTCTCATCATTTCCAACTGCCAGAGCCAATACTCAAGAATAATGGAGCAGTATATGGAAACATCTAAACATGTATTTATGCACATCAGCATTGTGGGTTAGCTGATATTTCTTGCTCTGTCTACTGTTTGAAAAACTGATATATCCAAAGCTGGAAAAAATTACTTTTTTAGACTATAAAAAAAATCCGCCAGTCGCCATGGTCAGTGATTTTTTCCAAACTCTGTGTACTGTAAATTCTGTTTTACCAGATTAGTAATAATATTGCCATAAGTTACATTGTTACAGTATCAGGTTTTAGAATCTGATCAAGATCTTATCCAAAATGTTTACCGTGGTTATTCTGTTTAATATTTTTTAATGACATACTATTTGATTATACTATGCATGGCTTCACAAATTTTCTGAAAAACTTATTTCTTATTTACTACAACTCTCAATATGCCCCCAACCATTCTGTCTGGCAGAATTTGGGAGGTATAGTAAAAAAAACTCCACTTTCCCAAACTCTGGATATTTACATAAGACTTCTTTTACAAGATTTGCAATAATATTTCCGCAAGTTAAATTGGTACCATATCAGATTTCAATGACAGGATACCACATAATTCATTGCACTGTTTTCCTTTCCTTCTGCCTGCTTTGGACTTGATAGGTACTGCTCTGGTTGTGCAGTGGGATCATGTTCATTTACAAGATAATTACAATCTGGGCAGTTTCACATTCCAGGCGACTCTTCTCAATGATGGGCGTATCATTTTTGGCTATAAAGAGGTGAGTTTGATCCGACTTGGATTTTCTGTGTTTTCTGACATGGCACCATTTTGGGGTAACAACAGAAGATAAAATATCCATTTAAAACCAAACAAAGCAGTTAGAATGTAGTAAAATGTGAAAACACCCGTCTCTGCCTTAATGCAAAGGACTTTCATTATGTCACGAAATACCACGTGGATATTATTGTTAAGATGGTAGCCTTGAAACAACAGCCAATGCCCCTTTGTTCATGTGGAGATCTGTTCAAGACACAATATACCATCAGACAAAGCACTCAGGAAATTGCAGCCGCTTCACTGATGAAAGAAACCAGAAATTCAAGGAAGAAGGTGCTGTATCTTACATGCCAACCTATTGTGATATTGTACTGCTCAAACAAGTAGACGCGTTGTGTGTCAGTGCATACCGACCAGCTCTTATGATTTCTCAGCCAGCATCAAGAAAACATTCTCTGGCAAACCCTTTCTGTCACTGCCACATGTGATAAGCATTTCTGCTTTCTATAGCTATAAATATTAACATGAAAACTAATCATTTCCCTTGTCAACTTGCCCATGGCCTGTCATCAGAAGTTGTACTCTCTATGTACCATGTTAATGATTTTCTTGTCATTCTTCTGTGCTATCAATATAAATAATGGATCACATTATAAAGCAGATAATTAAATACAGTTTCGGTCTTAAAAAGATGACTTCAGAATATTTTCCCAAGATGCTATCCTGACGTGTTAATGTACTGAGCCGAATTTCTCAAATTCAGATGAAATGGGAAATTGGTTCATTACGAACATTGTCTGGAAATTTTATATTGCCTTCTCCCATGCATAAATGAAAAATGAAGGGGGAAATAAGCCATATGAAACTGTACTGATTTCCTCTTCATTACATACAGTACTAAGTTTTCTTATGTTGTTCAAGTATGACAACAAGGGGCTTCCATGTTTCAATCTTCAGATGTTCTACAAATGTAACAAAACTTGGAATTTCTTTAGTGCATCCTAAATGATTATAGGATCAAAGGGCTCATTACTGCCTAAGTGAACCTTCACATTAAGGTATATAATGTACCAAGTAAAGTAGAGATCTTGCATTAACCATTTATCAGTTATATGCAGAAGGAAACATAGGAATGGTTGCACTGTAGACCAGTTGTGATAGTTGTATGCCTTTGGGGAATGATAAAAAGTTGTTGTTTCAACAGATACCAAAAAGATACTTAAAAAAATATCTGATTTAAGTCTTTAAGATTTACTATATAAAAAGTAATATCCCAATTTCCTCTTATTAGCCCAAATGGGTTATTGCTTTTACTGTTTACAACAGTTAACTGAATATATGTAAAATACGCAGTAATACAAACGGAATTCATTTCCCAGTATAACATTTTTTATGTGTGGCCCTGTGTGCAAAATTGCATTAGGTGTTAGCCAAGCAGCATGAAAAATAAAGCTGTTTATACAATAAGCAAGCTAAACTGTTTGAGTAAAATATTCATTGTACTTCAGGGGTGTGCAAGCTTCTTTCCTGCCATGAATGGACAAGGAAGCCTATACTTGGTTTACATAAAGTAAATTGACTTTACTGTTGATTACTGAGATGTAGGCTAGAAAATGTAATTGCTGCAGTATTTATCAGGAACTGATGAACTGATGTGTCAAACCTTGGTATTAGATCAAAACCAGCACTTACAGTGTACTGATTGGTTATTTTTATCAGCCCCACACTTTTCTGTTCCTGTCCTTTAAAAAGGGAGGGGGGAAAGGCCAGTCAGTGTTGTGTGAGGAATGCAGAGGGTGAGGCTGGAACAAAGCCGGATTCTAGATGCCTGACAAATGTATGTCCCTCTAGCAAATAAGTGAGGTGATTATTTGTCAGACCATCACCACATACCAGAGGCTTAGTAGTTATGTATACAAGAGCTCAGTCTGAACAAAGACTAGCCTCTTTATGGTTCCGTGGTCTAGGACTTCCTATGCGATTCGGACAGTGGCCCATATTCAAGTGACACCCAAGTGCCAGGCAAATGCGTTTATTCACTGCTGCTATAGCTGGATACCGCGTATTAGCTGGAAAATTACCACCTGCCAAACTAGATAACATATTTATAAAGAAATAGCCTTGTACAACAGGGTGTTGTCAACAGATTAAAATACCAAGGTAATAACTGCACTGTAACAGAGGATGAAGATGTGTGTTCTGAACTATAGCTCTGTTCAGACGTTAACCATGGGTACAGTGGAGTGTTCTAGCCCTGATCTGTCTGGTGGCCTTAACCTCCTTCTTGTTGAGAGTCAGGGGTTGAAGCAAGACATCCTGTTTGTGGGGCTATCCACATGAGTTGGGACCTTGATTTTTGTAAACTCCCATGGACAGCCCCCACATATGACAAATTAGTCTGCTCACTTTCCACCTCTTGGAGAGCAAGAATACCAAAAATAGGAGTTGGGCTACTGCACTACCTGTAGTGATCATAAACAGAGAGTGAGAACCTGGATAGAAGCCACACAAATTGGGAATGGAAAGGCATATTCTTGATTTCCAGGTCTAATCCAAAGTACTGCTTATGACTTGGGTCTACACTATCTGAAAGACCCTTATCTTTCCAAATGAGCCTGTGTGGCTCTTATGATCTTTGATGAGAGAGAGCCTTCTCTTAGCCCCACCACCCTCACAAGCACATCTGGTGAGACCAAGAGAGAGGCCACTTTTGGTGGAAACTAGGTTAGTGCCCTCTTTGCTGCCTTCCTGGCCAGCAGGGAAAGATCATTATGGGCAGGCCTTCAGCAAATGAATTCGACAGCTGAGAAAGATGTTTCATTGTGGGATGCTGTTCATTTCAATTGCTAGACTTTTTAATATTACTATATGTTTAATGTTTTTCATATTATTACTATATTTCTAGTTGCATCTGTGTGTTTTTTTTAAACAATCATTGGCGACCTGCCTTGTACCTCCACATTAGGAGAAAGGCAATAAGAAAATGAATTAAACAAATAATACATGCACACTCATCACAGGGCATGGGCATCACTGGGCAAGCACGAAGGCATCCATCCCAGAAGGGAGATATCCCCAGTTCATGGAGCTCCTTGGACCTGCTACAGTACCCCCTCATTGTCTGTTACTTTTTATGTGTTTCCTCTGAGCATAAGTGAGGAGGAGGAGAAACAAGCATCCTTGGTTTGTTGTGCTGTACGTGATGATCTGGATTAGGCCAGAGACAGGAAATACTTTTTTTGTTTTTGGACTGCACCTCCAAGAACACCTCACTGACCATGCTGGCTGGGGCATTCTCAAAGTAGTAGGGGGGAGGGGAAATCACTGCTTCTCTAGGTTGGAACTGTGGGGGAAAAGTCATAAAATGAGCAGCTGAAAGAGGTTATCATTCCCAGGACCTCACAATTCTGCCCTCCTCCCCTCCCCATCCCAAAACTGACAGATCCAGTATTACTGCTGAGAATTGTGTTCATTGGCTTGGTTTCTTTAGATGTTGTTTAGAACATAATCCATTTTATCATTTGCACAGTAGTTTTCTAATAAAGGACCAAAAGTAGAAAGAAAACATTCGAGATACATGTGTCGTTATTTCCTTCTTGTTTGTTTTCCAGATTCCTATTTCAGTGGCACAGATAAGTTCAACCAATCACCCTGTGAAAGTTGGGCTTTCCGATGCCTTTGTGGTTCTCCACAGGATCCAGCAAATTCCCAGTACGTTGTTAATGCATGGTAATGGATGTTGAGTGAGCCAGTGTGTAAGCAGAAAACAAATTCACAGAGACTGAAAAGATGTTTTAACTAAACAAACAAGACAAGAATCTTTAAGTTGTTTCAGTGTGCTCATTTAGATTTAATTGTATTAGTTTACAACTCCCATTGTGCCTATCTGGTTTATTGTTTGTCTTGAACTGATCATTAATTTAACTGATTGCCAAAAGGGAGGAAGCATAACACTGTCTTCTTCTTTGTGGTCTCTGTGAATGCACACTAATGGGTTAATCTGCAGCTGCAGAGAGGTTTCCGGAATCTTCTAGAGCTTAACACTCATTCGCCACGACCGCCCCCCTAGTACACGTGGTCCGCCCGTCCTGGCTAGTGCCTCAGTTCCTTTTTGCTGCCATTGAGGTTACTTCTCTTAGATGAGCTGCGTTCTCCTCCTGCTTTCAAAAAGGAATTTTTCTCGTTAGAGATCTTTGGATAGTGAGATTCTTTGTTTTTTCTTTCCTTCTGCCCCCCCCACCGCCTTGAATCCCTTTCTTCATTTTAAATTTTTATGGCCTCCTTTGGAACGTTTAAACGGTGCACTTTGTGCCCCAATAAAATCCCATTCACCGATGGCCACGATTCCTGCCTTTTCTGTTTGGGTGAAGCTCACCAACCGGCTTCTTGCCCCTTTTCTAAAAAGTTTATGAAACAGGCACTTAAACTAAGGCAGCAACGCCTATGATTTTATATGGAACCTGCATGACCTTCTCAGGTTCAATCGGCTTCCCCTGGAGCCTCAATTGCATCTTCGACAACATCGAAATCTAAGTCTAAGACCATCACTAAGTCTACCATGGGTGCTTCAGTATTAGTCTACACCAATACCGAAGTCTCCTCCAGTACGGGACAAACAGTCCAAAACAAAGAAGCCTAAGAAATCGTCCTCTGAGTCTCGATCCTCCAAACACCAGAAGGACAAGACGACCTCTTCCACCCAGTTACAAGAGCAGCAAACTATTTGCCTCAATTCCATATCTGTAGAAGATGACGATTATCTGCCTCCACCTCCAGGCCAACCACCTTCGCCTCTCTTGGCTCCATCTCCCTCATGAGCTAATACCTCGGCTGAGGTTTCAGTACTGCCAATTAGCTGCAGTTAGCCAATACAAACCTTCGGGTTGCTCTGTCTGAGTGTCAGTCGGATTCAGCTTCCATCACTGATCTGCAACCTCTGTGCAAGCGGACCCGAAAAGAACATCATACACCAGAGACTGGTCCTACTGATGTTGACGTTCCACTTCCACAGATGTCGACGGGATGACTCACATCCCAAGGTTCACTTTCGCCGCACGGTCGTGCCAAGAGGGTTACCCTCTATGAGCCACCCGCATATTATGAGCTCCCACCACAGCGATGCTGACACCTCTGACTCCGTGGTACTCCTAATCTGCCCACCCCTGACTCTGATGTCACCGACGTGAACCCTCACTCTCCATCAGAGGACTTTTCATCGTATTTTCAACTGGTCTTTGTTGCGCGGTACCGAGTGCTTGGAGGATGGCAGCGGGCAGTTTGGGAACTGAGGCACTAGCCAGGACGGGCGGACCACATGTACTGGGGGTTGGTCCTGGTTCCGGAAACCTCTGCGCAGGCACAGATTAACCCATTAGTGTGAATTCACAGATGACCACTCGAAGAACCAGAGTTACAGGTAAGTAACCTCTGTTTCTTCAGGATTGCTGAATTTCTAGAATAGGCATTATTATATTCACTGTGTTTATGTTTTTGGAAAGTCCTAAATGTTACTTAAATACATATGCATGTAACTAAGCATGTATTGTGGCAGGTATGTGCTCTGAAGAAAACTCCACACAGTTGCAGTTCTGCTTCTTTTATACATTCACACAGGCCTTTTCTTCATTCCACAATTATTCCAAAAAATTAAGGAGGCACTGAAATTAACAATACTCAGCTGCTCACATAATCCTGATGGCTAAATAGTACAGATTTCCTTTCCTCTAAGATGGTTCTGCCAGCTGAATCTTATTTCAAGACCAATGATACACGAAAGGCTGTGGACCCAGGACACATTGTTCATCATAAATTCACTACCATAGGGAAGCAGCCAGAGAGATCATGAGAAGTAGCCTGAAGGTTGACACTTCTGCACCCAGTATCTGGTTCTCCAGTTGTTTCATTCCACCCAATGGTGGGGATGGTTCCACTTAAGGTAGTGCAACTGGATCAGTACAGCACTACTTGCTTATATCTAAATCTAATTCCTAATACCAACTAGAGAAGACCCATTGGGCAGAATGCTATTGGTGTTGGTGTAGAGTTTGCATAATTGCTGCAGCTAATGTTGGCTAATGGACAAGGTACCATGTATGTCATCATGCATGCAATCATGACGTGCCAATTAGCTGCAGTTAGCCATTACAAGTTACACCACCCTTCTGTGAACACTATTTGGGTTCTGTCTGTTGATTCGATTGCTGAATAATAAGTCAACACGTGGAAAAACCCCATGGATTCAATGGGCCTAATCTATTTGGGACTAGCAATTGGATTTGGTATTAATGCAGTATTGCTCTGTTAAGGCAGGGTAAGAGGCAACACCTCATCCTGTACCCAAAGTATGCTATCCCAGCTTGTCCTGTTGAGTTTGGGAGGGATCCTGGACAAAGGGAGAAGAGAATGGGAAACCATCAATCCCACAATGTCAGGATCTTGGAAACAAAAATACTGACTGCTGTATGAGAATTCTCTTTTATAAAGAGAATTCATTACTGGGTAGAGATCCCAGTTCCTGAAAGTTTTTTGTTACCTTAAGCTCCTTTGGGATGTAGTATTCAAGAAAAGGCCTGTTCCTAACCACTTTATGCAAAACAAAAATGTTTGTGAATATGCATGCAATATAACATTCCCTCCGCAAAATAAATCGAGCTGTGCCACAGAAAGCCTATGTCAGCTTCTTTTTAATTATGCATGTTCTTGCATTCCTGTCTTTTCAGGGATGCTAAATGAACCATAAACCAACCCAGTAAATTATTACAAAGGGAAAATGTACAAAGGTTTGTGCAGCTTTTTGTTGTATTAGCCAGAATCCAGACCAGCACAAGATGCTGCTCAATCCATGCTTGGAATCTTCAAGCACTAGCCCCTCATATAACCTGAAGTGAAAAGTCACATATGAAATATAGGTGAAAATGAAAAACAATTTTAAATGCTAGAAATTATTATCATTTGTGGTTCTAGAAAGGATTGTTGAGTCATTTTTCAGTTTGCACTGCAACACTTCTAGAAGTGACGAATTGGGCAACTGTATGCCATTGCTCAGGTGACACCCAAGTACTCACAATGCTTTCCATTCTTTGAGGAGGTTCCTTCTATGTCCCCTATATTGCCACTAATAATATGAAGAACAGTAATGCTGCTGGTCATCATGGTGGTGGTGGTGGTGGTGGTGGTGGTGGTGATGAACTTCTTAACTATTAGAGCAATATGACAGAAAAAAATTCTTAACTGTTAGAGCAGTACAACAATGGAACCAATTACCTCGGGAGGTAGTGAGCATTCCAGTGCTGGAGGCATTCAAGAGAAAATTGAGCAACCATCTGTCAGATGTGCTTTGATTTGGATTCCTGTACTTGATGACATAGGCCCCTTCCAACTAAATTATTATATGATTCTATGGTTTGAGAATGAGGATGATGAGGATGAAATAGCACAAGAATATATGCTATATTGATAACAGAAATAAGTCCTATTTAAGCATTCAAAAAGGGTTAATTTGAAAGTGGGAACAGGGAAAGAATTACAGTCCTGCCTCAAACCCATTGTGGTATCCGTGTGAAGAAGGACAGTTTGAAGAGAAAAATGTCTGCTATGTTCCCCAGGTTCATGGCGCTCCACATGTAGCAGAAAATTAAAACAGGCCCTCTCCCTTGGGAGACAACAACAAGTATTGGTATTTATGCTGTCTTTCATCACAGTGTGAATAAAGGAGCAATGGGAGTGTGCTAAGGGGTAGTTAATCTGCATTAAATGATCTTGAGCATACACAGCATAAATATTGACCCAGTCTACAGTGTTTTCATGGATGGCTAAACATTGAGTTAGTGTACTACCTCAGATGTAAGAAACAATCAATTCAAATGATTGCCTTAAAAAGTAGATCATCCACTCATATAGTTAACATCTCTCAACTGAAATAGATGGAACTATCAGAAACTTTTTTGATTGATAATACAACATGCAAAAGTGACTTTGGATAATAAAGTGCACTTATGAATTTCCCAAATTCAAGATAAAACATTTAATGGGATCATTCAACAGACTTTAATTACATGATATATTTTACAGTAGCAAAGTTGGATCATCCACTCATATAGTTAACATCTCTCAACTGAAATAGATGGAACTATCAGAAACTTTTTTGATTGATAATACAACATGCAAAAGTGACTTTGGATAATAAAGTGCACTTATGAATTTCCCAAATTCAAGATAAAACATTTAATGGGATCATTCAACAGACTTTAATTACGTGATATATTTTACAGTAACAAAGTTGGCTGGTTTAGGTATCCGGCTGACTTCATGGCACATGTTGCTGCTGCTGATTTTTTTATATATATATAACAAAAAGGAAAGGGAGTTCAGTTCCCCACTGTGCTTCCCTGAAGAAGAGCCCCCTTGTGTAGTCGAAGGCAAGCTGCCCAATCCCAGTACATCTCCAGGAGAAGGGAATGATAAACCACTTCTCTATCTGGAAAACCTTGAAAAAGGTTACCTTAAGTCAGAATTGACTTCATGGCACATGTTGCTGCTGCTGATTTTTTTTTATATAACAAAAAGGAAAATGGAGCTACCCCCTGGAGCCAGATCAGATCTTGGAAAACTCACTTTTTTGAACTTACAATTTCTACAATGCTCTAGCCAGCATAGCCACTATTCTGAGCTGTAGGACATGTGCACAAGGGCCAGTATCCTGCTGTATAGCCACACATGTGCAGTGGGAACCACATCCCCAGCCACAGCACATGCCACTAATTGAAGGGTTCAGTTTAGGGGGAGGTGCACTCAACTTGCAGGCAATAATACACTCATACATACCACAAAATTGAAAAAGGAACTCTTTAATTAGTGGCAATGTGCTGCTGACTTACGATGACCAGACTCCCAACTTCTGACTCCACCGCCAGGTACCTAAACCACTGAGCAATCCAGCCAACTGTTAGTCCTTAAGGTGCCAAAAATGGCTTTTTTCCCTCTTTTTCCCACTCTTTAATTAGTGGTAATCTGCTGCTGATTTATGGTGACCAGACTCCCAACCTCTGACTCCACCACCAGATACCTAAACCACCTAGCAATCCAGCCAGCTGTTACTCTTTAATTTTTTTCCTCTTCTTTTCCTCCTTTCATTTTGTATCCTCTAGTGGCCAAAAATGTATTCAAAGGATGTCTTTTTAAAAGTGGGGGGCTCCTGGGGAGGCAGAGGTACTGGGGCCTCTCAATACATGGCAAAACTGTGTCTCTTGTCCCCCTATGACACTGGGGGACTCCTTAAGCCCCAGTTTCATTTGGATTTTTGTGGAGAAGGGTTTGGGGTACTGGCGACCATAGGTCCTGGGGGAGGTATTTGACTTTTAAGTCCATGAGCTGCATATTGTGCAGCCCTGCTATAGATGAAGAAGATTCATTGCCAGAGTAATATAGGATTCATGTTTAATAAATAAAACCAATCAAATGAATTGTTAAATTTTTTAATTTTTAAAACAAATTTATCAGGAGGTTTTGTTGCACAGTTGTTACCACTTCCTCAAATCTCTTTCATATACTATTCCTGATTAGCATACTGTACTTAGAATTCAACAGCTTGTGCCAAACCGGCATACCCTGCATTAACATTTGCTAAAGACAGAAAACTGAAAGGCTCTACAAAAGGGCTGGTGACGTCATTTTTGTATTATTTATGAATTTGTTTGGTTGCTTTTTTTGGACCAACAGACCTTGCTTCTTCTGGGGAAAACAGTTAAAACCTCCAGTGCTGGCAGGAGTTCATTTGAAACATATCCCCTGAATGCTTTAACTTGGCAGGTGCTTCATATAGACAAGTCACTGAGGGAGAATAAATCTCCCCTTGGCAAAGGAGGTGCACAGATCTGGCCCAAATTAGTGTAGCGTCTACACACAAAGATTCTGGTCTAATGCACTTAGGGCTTACAGAACAGATAACTCAGTCAGAACCTTCCTAATAATTTATTCAGACTCACTTGTGATGGTAATTTTTTTAAAATTTAATAGGATATTAACATTTATGTTTGAGGGAAAGAATGAGGTTGGAGGGCTTGGAGAGAGAAAGACAAAAAGCACTTATGTCAGCAGTGGTTGAAAAAAAAATAGCCCTAAACTAAAGTATCAAGTTGGAGTAATTGACAGTGACAGAACTCAACCAGATAAGAAGTTAACCCAAATCATTTGTGGTTTTTTCTCTATGCCACATTCTGCCAGTGTGCTGATGAAATAAGATAAGGACTGAAGCTCCATCCATCGTATTTTGGAGATAGTGAGGTTTGCCAGAGCGTGTTATAAACATAGATTTTTGTTGTTTTTCACATCGCAGTACCAACTGTTTTTGTTGAACACATTGCGACCACAAGTTAAGGCTTCTCAAATTTTCCCACCTAACAGACTTAAACAGTACACATATATCTTGACTTTCCAGGGCTCTAGTGATATTTCAATACAGTTAGGAGGCACTCAAATGGGAATTCCTTTTTGAACTATGCAACAGAACTGTCGTGCTTATTTCTTGACAGATGTGCGCAGAAGAACAATATATGAATATCATAGAGTAGAGCTTCAGATGTCAAAGGTTACTAATTTGTCAGCTGTTGAGATGATTCCTCTACCTAGTAAGTAAAGTCCAACAATCTTTCCTTTTAGTACATATTCTCTAGCATTTGTAGTGTGCACTAGATAGCATTTTTCTTATAACTCATAGACTGAAATCCTGTTTCTTAACTTACACCTGCGGAAGGATTAGGATGTCTGAAACTCATCCACTTTCCTTTTTTTGTCCAAAGTAAATCTACAATTTTTAGAAGAATTAGGATGTCCACTGTACTGAAATCATCACAAGAAACTGGAGTAAGCTCTCATCTTCCACTGAATCCGAATGATTCAGTAAATGATTGGGTAATAATAATTTATCCAGATACTCCAGTTTATTATGCCCCTATGATAAAAACATTTGCTATAGATTGTGAAATGCAAGAACTCCAAAAGGAAGTGGACATAAATAAATAATTGAATGATCTCATGGCAGAAAGTGAGTCTAGGAGCTGTACAAGAAATGTGAATTTGTGGAAATCGCAGTACATTCACAAATGAGATTACAGCTGAAACCAGAAAATCAATCTTTTGATATGTGCATATTCACATAGCATGTGGTTATAGCTTGTTGTTAAAGCTGGATGACTATAGCTCACCGAATCTCTAGATATTTTAAGGAGAATAAATTCACAGAATCCTGAGCAAATTATTGATTGTGGAAAGTCTTTGTAAGATGAAGTTATAGGTGTATGTGCGTGTTTCTTACAGCCTGTCTCCAGTTCAACAGCTGCACGCCCTGTGTCACAGCTCAAATTGGCTTCAACTGCAGCTGGTGTAATAAGCTCCAAAGGTAAGAAACTGGTGGTTCGGTCTGGTTGTGTTGGCGTACAATATACAATGGCCCTGATAATAAATCCATTTTTCCTCTTACCCCAGTGGTTCCCATACGTTTTGCGCTCACAGCTCCCTTGGTTTTCTGACTACTGGCCACAGCTCCCCTGGCTTGGAGGGGCCATCAGGGCTCTCTCTCATACACCAGGGGAAGGATCTTGACCCCTCCGCCCCCAGCCATCCCATCTCCTCCCCACCCCCAAATATCTCAAAGGGCTGACCTCCTTCCAGGTTCTGATGCAGGAAACTCATGAAGGCCACCAAGCAAACACTTCCATTGGGGACCATACATAGAGAAGGGACAAGGAGAGGCAGGCACATCACCTCCACTTTCTGTTCCTGTTTGACAAGAGCTATGAAGACTATGGAGGAGCTGTTCCTAGAACTATAAACAGCTCCTTTACAGCTTTCATAGCTCTGTGTTTGATCTTTTCTCCATGGGGCCCCTGCCTGGGTTTCACTGTGCCCTTGGAGCCATGGTACACAGTTTGGGACCCCTGTCTTACCCAATATATTGCATAAGAGTCATCTTACTTGGGCTGATTTTGTTTCCTGGTGGCAAGGGAAGTGGTGTTTTCACCTTTTAATTTGTGGTATATAAAATTAAAGCATTCTTTTCTTAAAGGCACAGGAGGGCTTTTTTTTTCCTGCCGGATAACAGCAGCGTAGGCAACAAAGAGAAAGATGGGCTCATCACCATGTTTGTGCCATCCTGGAAAGAGCTATTACGCATGTTTAAAAATAAGGGCATTATTTAAAAGAGGGTGATAATCAAAAGCAGAGGAGACCATACATGTCATCTGTTAAAAACGTCTAGCAGATTGAACTCCAGAAACAGCCAGCTGTTAGTTCTGACTGATATTGCTGCGTGATTTAAAGGGTGGGGGAATGATGAGACTTAAATGCAAAAGAGAAGGTGGCTTGCTTTGTTGAAGAAATGAATTTATTCCAATCATTTGATAATAATATGCTGGCTTTTTATTAGGTTTTGAAGAAACCATGCAACAAAATGCATTTGAATAAATATTGCTGCAAAAGGCCATAGTCTATGTTTACCTTTTTTCTTATTTGGTCAGTCTCACAGTCCCTAAGCTTAGGCAAACCTTCAGGACTATCCATTTTCAGATGGTACTAACAGGCATGATTCATGGCCTACACACCATCATATTCCTCTGACCCAGCATAGGTGACTTTGCAGAATGAAAGTAGAGGATCTTTCTTTCTTATTTTGTCCCATGCATTTGACATTTTATTTTAAGCTTTTATATATTATTTTACTGAAATTAGGCTCAAGAACTGTCTCAGAAAAGACATAGTATCATCTGGAAAAATTGTTATATATTTATATATCTCAAAACTCAAGATCTGCAGGAGGGTTCCTGCTTTCAAGCCAGAGACTCGTTTAGTGATGACATAAGAGAGGGCCTTATTGATGGCTGCTCCCATGCTTGAAAAGGCTCAGTAGGACAATCTCCTCCCTATTGCCTTCAGTGATAAGGAATAAAAGTTTCATCTATGCGCCAGCCAGATCCCAGCCCACCTCAGTTCACGAGGCTTGTTGTAAATTATTGTGCCTTGAAACCAAAAGAATAGCCAGAATTCTGCTGGTATTCATCTAAGGTTTATGCAACTGGCTGTGCCTAACACAACTAAATGATGAAGTGCCAAGATGTGTCTCAGTCATGTGCACAGTTACATGCCTAATTATTCAATTGATGTATGCCCCAGCATCTCTCATCAGTTGGCTGCCATTAGCACGTCATATAAACCTTATGTGAACACCAGTGAGATTTTAGTCACTACTTGATTAGCACAGTTACATGCCTAATTATTCAATTGACGTATGCCCCAGCATCTCTCATCAGAGAGGGGGGAAAATCATTTTGTGAAGCACAGCCATAGAAGAAGCCATCTTGCAGGGCACCACAGCGATCGCAAAAAGCATTCGTCTTGCGGGGCGAGCAATCACAAAAACCATTCGTCTTGCGGGGCGTTTTCATCCTGCGAGGCATTCGTCTTGCGAGGCACCACTGTACTTGAAGTCTTGTTTGTAGAAACAGCTCAAGAGAACATAGCACAATGCAACAGGAAGGGCAGATTCAAAGCATAACAGGATACAGTAGGTTTATAGTTTCCATAGGAGTAGCCATCTTTGTCTATTACAACAGCATATAAAAATGTTGTGTGGCACATTCAACAGATTTATTACAGCATGATCTTTCATGGACACACATTCCACTTCCTCAGATGCAGGAATGTTTGTAAATAGGCCTTTGTATTCTGTCAATTAGAGGAATTTGATGGGCTAGCCATTAGAGAATGTTGCAAAAGAAACTATGTGCCTTTGATTTCAACATATGCTTACCCTCCCACAATGCTGCAGAGTAGTTTACCAGTCCAATCAACTGGTGGTGTTCTGGGACTACACAGCTTATTAAAGACCATTCCTGCGGCAGGGCATGTAATCCCATCAGCCACATGTGCTCTGAGTCATCTCAGCAGGCCCTTCTTTAGGAGGCGAAGTGGGGATTCAAATTCCTGACCTCTGACTGCACTCCTACTGTCTGAGCTGTACCAGCATAATGTCAGGGAACATTACCCTATCCAAACTGTTTAGAAGTACAAATATTGTGTGTGTATACATAGAGAGAGCGTGAAATGCATAGAAATATATAGAAATACAAATAGGATACACACATACACATGCAAAATAGATTATCCTGAACCGTCTGAAAGCATCATCATTGAAGACATTTTATGGGATAATTGAAAGTGTAATACCGGCCTATGATGCACCATTTTGATAGCCCTGCCCTTGAAAAAGGCCTGGCTGAGTGCAACTTACGTTTCATCCTAGAGCACTTGGTAATTATGTTTGATTGCAACGTTCCAGTTGACTCTGCTAGAACTTAGGAGGCATCTGTTCAACAATTCTGTAGTGGCTTGTCCTTCTGATGTATTGGTTGCAGGAGCCAGTCATGTTCCCACTGTTTCATATCTATATGTTTCCCCACTTATTTTGTAGACTGAGCATGTTGTGAATCAGAATTGAAATAAAAATGGTTTAATGAGATGTTCGTGAGTCAGCAGCCACAGACCTCATGGACAATCTGCCCAATTTATGTGTCACCATAGGATCAGCTTAGAGCTCTCATTAGTAGTTCTCCAAAGGAAGGCTTGGAACGTGCTGATGAATCAGAAGTAAAAAGAAAATAAAGTTTGGGCCAACATTGAGGGTGTTTGAACTTCTCTTTATATTTAGAGCTTTTTAAGATGAGCTAAATTATTGCTGGAGAATTACGATTTTCTAATTCTGTTATGGCAGGAAATTCAAAGTCTATCTCCAACCTGAAGTGATATCCTTCAGAATTTGTGTGTATGTCCATGCAATAACTTTATTCCCAGTAAGGTTCAATATGGTATAGTAATTAGAATGTTGGACCGGGACTCAGGAGATCTGCCTTATTATCCCCACTTACCCTTAAAATTCCAGGAGTGATCTTGGGCAATTCAGTCTCTCACACCTTGACCTATTCCATTGGGTTGTTGTGAAGACAAAGTAGGATAAAGTGTGTGCAGCCTTGAGTTCACTGAAGGAAACACAGGATAGTAGTGTAACAAATAAGAGTGAAGTACAGTGGTGCCTCACATAACGAGCGCACTGTTTAACGATGAATCTGCATAGCGATCTATTTTTTGGGATCGCTAATGCGATCGCATTGTGATGTTCTGAATGGGCAAACATCGCATTGCGATGATCGGTAAGCGTTTCGCTTACCGATCTTCGCATTGTGATGTTTGTAGAACAGCTGATTGGCGGTTCCAAAATGGCCACCGGGTGCCCAAAATGGCCGCCGCAGCGTGCCTGGCATGCTCTGATCCATGGGGTCACGAAGAGTCGGACACGACTAAACAACAACAACAAATTCTGACAAAGGGCTATTGGCCACTGTAGAGAAGAATGCATAGAGAGGATGCCGCAAATTCTAGATTTGAGTATCCTCCTCTTCTCCATATCTTTCAGTGAAGCAGGCGATAGGTATCTTCCCTTTGTTCATCATCTTCTTTTATTTCAGTGTGCTATGTTACTAATGCATCTTAACATAATAATGCTGTTAATGAACAGCCTGTAACATAGAGTTTCCCCACAGTTAAAGGCATCGTTTCTCACAGTTTGGAGAATAGAAGTGTACAGAAAGTCCCCAGAAAAGGTGGTTTGAGGGTAGTGAGAATGCAAGACAAGTAGCAGTCCACATCTTTCACAGCCAGAGGAAGGCAACTCTGCTCTTGCAGACCTGACAAAAATTGATAAGGGAGAGTGTGTTTGTGAAGAAGGCAACCATAGGTTACGCTCTCAAAACATTTGGCACTGTTTTAAAGTAGGAGAAAAATAAGGAGGTTAAATAGAGGATTTGGAGATCAGTTCATGTTTTCTTTGCAAAGCAGACTTTAAAACTGAAACACACTTCCTTCTCCGTTAAAACCAGGACTGGCTCTATCACTGGGCATCAGCAGGGACAGGTACTCATGTATGGCTTTCATGAGTTTTCCAAAAGGGCATCAAAGTGTTAGTTATTTAATTTGTTATTGACAGAAATATACATAGATGCTTTTGAAGCATTTTCTGCACATTATGTCAAAATAATCTAACTTATTTTGGGTACTCTGCACCTTCAGGCACTAAAAATGTCTAGGATAAGCCCTCTAAATCAGTAATGTTGATGGAATTTTTGTGTTTATATTGTTTCCATGGAAGGAAGCAATCAATTGAAGGATTATTTGTCAGAAATACCAGTTTAATGAAGCCAATTCTCAGAGGAAGGAGTTAGCTGCATCTGCCACCCACTGGACAATTCCCTGCTGCCCATGAGCTTCGCTGAAGTCCTCATAGTAGCAGCGAGAAATTGATTTCCTCTATTGTTGTTGGCTGACAATGATGTAATATGAAGTACTTGGGGA